AGACACATCTATTGGCAACATTGCAGAGTAAAAATATATGAAAAAGCCGGACAAATTTGTGAGGTAATCATTATAAAAATAATGAATTATTTTAAATAAGTGTCATTGCATTAATGAGTGACATAATCATAGATGGAAGAAAGGTGACAGCTTCTGTTATCAAACAGAAATGGTTAGAGCACCGAAAGGTAGAAGTCTGACTAAGCTTCATCGCTTCACGCCTAGGGTGGCCCTACCAGGCGAATATTCAAATAGACGTACGTCTCAAATTCCGCCAAACAACACGGCTGAAAACCCTTTATATAGAAAGGCAGAAAAGAGCAAATGCTGGTGCGAAAGACATTTCATTCTAGCATTTTTTCTGAAAAAAATAAAATATCTGTAACTATCAAGATTTCTTTTATAATTTTAGCATGTATAAAAACTGCCTCTTTTCCAAGAAAAAGTCCCTAAGACCTCAGACGCCCAGTTCCACTACAACGAACGAACGAACCAAGAAAAAGTAGATATTGTTGAATAATTTAAAAAAAGAATAAATAAATTCCTCCCCAAAACTAGCTATAACTGAAATGGTTTACTACCAGCCTTTCCTTTTTTCCGTCTCGCTTTCACCCCTGCCCAGGAACACCGCTATGAGGCTGCCTGTAGGACTTTAGGTTTGCACTCAAGTTCTGTATCTAGAACCAGACGGTCATCACCTAGCTTATGAGTGGACATTTGAGATCTCTGTCTTATTTCAATGGGGGGGGGAAGGTTTTACAAACGTGTGTGAAGTGTGCTGACTATGAGACCACTCCTGACCATATACTAGATTGTCTAGAGCAGGGATTGCCAACTTACATGAGGCCGCGGGCCGCAATTGAAAACACCAGTCAAGTGGCGAGCCACAACTTTAACATTTTATAAAGGATTATGTTTTAAGGAACATTAAATATTACTGTCAGATTTTTATCAAACTGTACAAAACGAAAGTATTGAATTGCAAATTAAAATAAGATGTAGATTTTTAAAAATATTTAAATGCATATAAAAAATTCTGGCTACAATAACTTTAATGTGCACCTTTGTATTAAACATTAATGTGCAACAGACATCGAATTATCAAGCTATAATTATGACTTAAAATTATTTAAAACTCATATAGATTTTTTACGAAAACTGTCCACAAAAAATGGCAACTAATATATTTTAGTTCGCGGACCACAAAAAAAGGCTTCGCCGGACGCGGCACGCGGGCCGCCAGTTGGCAATCCCTGGTCTAGAGCTTACCAGACAAGATCTTTTCTCAAACCCAATTCTAGTATTAGACTTTCTTAGAGTGACAGATTTCATAGACCTGATTTAGCGTTGCTAAACAACGGAGGTATGCAACAAAAACTGTATTAATATACTTTGAATTTTGATTTCTTAATGACAATTTAAAATAAACTATGATACATAATTCGCATTTTATTTTATTTTATTTTATTTTATTTTATTTTATTTTATTTTATTTTATTTTGTTACCAGTATGGAGCAATCGATTCATGCAGTGAAGGGCCCTAATGTTCAAATCTTTATGAGAGTAATTTTACACCCTACTCAAAAGACAAGGAAGCTCTTGAGACTTATTCTAGGATAAGCTAGCCTCTATAATTGACTCGTTGAGTAAAATTAATTTTCATTAATTTAGGGTTAAAGCCTTTAACCCTTTCGCGCCGACTGTCACAATTCACACCTGCCAACTTTTACGTATTTGGCGTAAAATGTTATTTTTATATTTAAAGTGGTAGTAAATATATACTATTTTTTTATTTTATAAACTTAAATTTAAACTGATTTCGATCACCAATATTCTTAAAAACATTTATCATTTATATTAATGTGTATTACTTTCTTGATTGTCAACTGAAGATTTTTCAAATACAACATATTTTTTGCTTACAAGAGAAAATTTAATTCCATTTTAATACCACTGGGAAAAATCATGATGGAAGGGATTAAAAGTTGGCAGGTATGGTTAAAGCCCAATGATGCTATCTGAGAAGAGTAGAGAAGCCTTTAACACTATCAAGGAGCAGCGTGGATCTTACTGGTTAAACTAGTATTCGACCTATTGCACTCTGCGAACTTTTAAATGTTGTTTGAACTAATACAAGCACTAAATCATTTTAAATATGTAATACAGTATTTTTATGAAATTCCTATAAATCTTAAAATAATATGGCTACTAATTATAAACCCTTTCACGCCGACTGGCACAAATACGTGCCAGCATAAAACCATATCATCCAGGGTAAAAAAACAAAACTGGTAATTAAAGTAATTCTTTAGCAGTTTATTTGTGGGTGGAGTTATAATTGTTTGATTTATTTAATTCACCATTACTTTGTTCAAAATAAAACTATTTAGTTATACTTTGAATTAACATTGATTATATATATGATTAAACTGACAATAATTAAAGTAAAAGCAAAGTAAGTCTGTCAAATTAGCAACGACTACATTTAAGTTACCGTTTTTTATTTAATTGCATCCTGATTCTGATTTTGTACGAATGCTTTTCAGAATCACCTGTCTAGAGCCCCTGAATTAGACAGGCCGACTTATCATTTGTTGTTGGAGCAAAGAGCTAACATAAGCACAGCGAATAAATATTTTCAAGTGGTAGTTTATTAATTGTAATTCTTGGTTTAATAAGCTCGATTTAGTAGATTTTAATCCACCACTATTTCTAAGCAATGCGTAGGCTTATATAATTCACAACTTTCTAGTATTTATTACATGCTTTACATTTTTAAAAGCAAGCGAATACTGTCAACGATTTGCAATTACTTCGTAGTTGCTTACCGTTTATTAAATTATTTTGGCGTGTCCACAGCACTTGGCATAACATAACTAATACTAACATAACGTTAACTTGCGAATTTCTTTGCTCCAATATTGCTTGACAGGTCAGCTCTGATAGTATAGGAGCCTTACTATCCAAGGGGTTAAGTTATAAAAATTTTTAATTTTAGAGTGGTGACTAATGATGAAACCGCAGAGGCAACATCGGAGTGCAAAATGTTAAGGTATCTGAGACAGGGTTTAACACATTTTTTCAAACAATCTGAACCAGTATTGTCCCGAATTTATATATTGAAATGATACAAAAAGTGGTTTTATGGAAAAAGTGGTGTAATGTATTATCGAAATTAATTGGTTTTTC